CTATATGCGAACAAAAATAAATTTAAAACCCACAATGGTTTTGAAAAGTAACATAAAATGGGGAAATATGGGTTGGAGTGATAGTTTAGCTGTTAAGATTGCTCAGTATCCTCATAGTGGACCTAAGTTCAGTTCCCAGCACCTACATGGCAGCAAGCAACCATCTGTGACTCCAGTTCCAGGTGATATGGTGCCCTCTTCTGGCCTCCATGAGTACTGCATGAGCATGGCACACAGACATATATGCAGGTAAACTCACATTTATAGAAGTTTTTAAAAAATCTTTAAAATGTAAGAAAAGCCTTAAACACTAAAAATTGTTTCAAACATGAACATTTAATGAGATTAGCCCTAGTAAAGCTAGAAGATTTGCTTAAACTGATTTTACTGTATCAAAGCAAAATATAGTACTACATAGGCACAGTTTACAGATTTGTTACTGCCAAACCAAGCCAGACCTGGTGGCATAGGCCTACAGTACCAGTTCTGTAGGAGGTTGAGGCCGGTAGACAGTGAGTACAGGGTCTGTCTGGGATTTCAAAGCCTGGGCCACTTTGTGTAACCCTATCTCAAAAGAAAACATTCAGAAAGAGATTAGTTAGGGTTCAGTGATGGGGGCTTGTTTGGCGTGTGCAGGCCCTGGGTTGCAGCCCCTGTGCAGAAAAGGAGGAGGAGGGGTGAGGAGGAGGGAGAAGGAGGAAGAAGAAGAGGAAGGAGAGGAAGGAGAAGAAGAAAAGAAGGAAGAGAAGAAAATAAGTGATTTTGTTTTGGATTTGAAAAGCTAGTTTAATATTAGTTGACAAATATAAATATATATTGATGATGTGGAACAGTGTTCTAAAATATGCATTTAATGTAATCAGGGTGGATCAAGGTAATTAGTATATGTATCATCTGACATGTTAAAACATATTCTCTAAGTAATTTTCTTTGTTTTAGAAAATATATTCCTTAACTCTGAGAGAATTCATCTATTGATTTGAGCACATTCATTCTCCTCTCCCATGTCCTTCCAGAGTCCCCTGCCCAGGCCATACCCACAGGACGTTCTAGTCTCATTTGACAAGCATGGCGTCCTGTTACTGTGCAGCCGTCATGGAGCGCACACCCTGAGCTGTTCCCATTGTGTTAAGCATTCACTGTAGCCACGGAGGTACACGGCACTGTTTTCTTGAATGCATTTCTCCAGATAAACTGAAGCTTTTGTATCTCTTGACCCATTAAAATGGAAATAACATGTTGCTCCTTTAGTTCCACAGTGTTCTCTTAAGCTTAGGATCTGTGATTTCAAACTGTGTGTTGTGCTAGTGGGGAATAAATTATAAAACTGTGTTTATGGTTAGCTAGCCTAGCAAAATGATTTTTTAAAAAATTAATTTAGCATACTTAATGAGAATCCTCAATTTGACAAGTCCAAGTAAAGGATCCCCACCACTTGGAAGTCATACTGTGCACACCTGAAGAACCTTCCTTCCGACCTCCCAGTCCATCGGAAATAACCTCTGGTCTTTAAAATTTTGCTCCAACTTTTTTTTGTGTTTTCATTACTGGCTTTTTGTAGCTCAGTTATTATATAAATACTGTTATTTCATTTGTGCTGTTTCTAACCCTCAAATGAAGGTTACGAAACGCTCTCCTTACAGCTATTCTCCAAGGTCGCTGTAAAGAGAGCCTGAAGATCTACAACTGAGCACACGAGGAAATCAGTCCATGAATCACAAGAAACCAACAATGATTTTCATAAAAAGAGATTGGAGGTTTTTTAATAAGAGATTTGAACTTACAAAAAAATGTACCAAAAATTAGGTGGAGCATTACTGACTGCCCGACTCTAGTGAAAAAGTAAATATACAGAGGTAACCCTTCTATTTTAATTCGGAGACATTTAAACACATACACATTTTAATTTTTATATACAATTGGAAACCAAAATTTCCCTATATTTTTTAAGTCTCATTTCAACAAAAAATATAGGCCACATGGTTTCTATTATCTACAGGGAATATTCTAACTCCTGAGCACGTAACTTCTCATCCAGGCACCATCTGCCTTTTGCACATCTTTGTAGTCATTATTCTCAGGCACCATAGGGGTATCACATAACAATCCACACTGTGCTTTGAATGTGCCATGCTCTTTTTCTGTGCCTTCATGCCTCCCCCTGGAGTATATCTGACCTTCCCTCATAATTGGGGTAAAGGGTACCCTCCACGAACTCTTCCTTTTCCTGGGAACAGAGTTATTTTCTCTTTTTCCTCTGTCTCTATACCACTCTTACACATTCTTTGGGTTTAAAATCGTCTGACAGCTGGGAGGTGGAGGTGCACACCTTTAACCCCAGCACTCAGGAGGCACAGACAGGTGCATCTCTATGAGTTCAAGGCTAGCCTGGTCTAGAAAGCAGGTTCCAGGACAGCAGTGGCTGTACAGAGAAACCCTGTCTCAAAAAACCATAAGCCAACCAACAAAAAGCCTTGTGATAATATCCACTTAAACCTTTCTTCCCAGACAAGATCTTCAAGGAAATAAAGTATATTTTTGTTTTCCATGTGTGTGGCCAATGCTTAGCAGATGGATAGATGACAGGATGGAAGAATGAAGTATGGATAACAGGTACCAATATTCCAACATTTCTTAATTTGGGCTTATCTTACCTCCATTTTGTGAATGCCTTTCCCAAACGTTATTTTTACTGAAAAGTAATGAGATCTAGAAAACCACGCAGATGTTGTGACTTAATGACGTCCTCTGACGGGCTGAGCACAACAGTGAGGACAACAGAGCACCAGGCACACCCCAGGCCTTAACACAGGCTGCCGTGCTCCTCTTTGCTGCGAGCTTACACGAGGCTACTGCATACTTTTAATAATTTCTCTCTCCCCCCCCCTTCTTCTCTCCCTCCGCCCTCTTTTTGGTTTGGTTTTTTCCAGACAGAGTTTCTCTGTGCTGCCACAGCTGTCCTGGAACTTATTTTGTAGACCAAATATGTAAAAATAAACAAGTTTGATATTTCAATTTTAATTGGGTTTCTCTGTGTAAAAGTCCTGGATGTCCTGGAACTTTCTTTGTAGACCAGACAGGCCTTGAATTCATAGAGATTCGCCTGCCTCTGCCTCGTGAGTGCTGGGATTAAAGGTGTGTGCCACTCTGCCCGGCAATTTATGAGTTCTCTTAATAACATCTTCTTAGCAGATTTTACCCCTACAAGGGAAGGTTATGTCTTATGCTTTCTTTTATCAATACTATGTTCAGATATTTTTAATTGGTGATTGATTAAGCAGCAGTAAGTGCAATAACGATATCATCACAGGGATATGGGAGCAAGAGAGTCTACTAGCTGCCCTGGAGTCATCCATTGCCAAGCTGACATCACGATCACCACATGTTGGGATTTCCTTTTGTGAACAGAACACAATACAACTCTATGTCCCACCTAGACCACTCATCACAAAACCTGAGACTTTGGATGTTCTCCTTTACTTCAGTGCAATGAGAGAACCCAGGCCTTGGGGCGATAAGGCTCTCTTCTATGGAGCTGCCTCAACCAATGTTAAGAATGTTTTACACAAGGCAAGGAAAATGTCTAGTCAAAGTAAGACAGAAGAGAGCTTCCCACATTTAAATTTTCTTATTTTAATTGTGTATGCACGCACATGTGCATGCATGCACGTGCACACACACAGGTGCCTAAAGAGGCCAGAGGTATAGGATCCCCCTGGATCTGGGGTTACAGGCGGCAGTAAGCTGACCCATGTAGGTGCTGGGAACTGAACTCTGGTCTTCTGCAGAGAGTAGCAGCTGAGCCATCTCTGCAGCTCCTGATCTACAAGTTGGCTTTGATAGTCAACATTTTAAAGGATGCTCTTGTCAGTCATGAATCTTGGTTTTAAAGGTATTTGCAACAACATGTTTTCTGTTATTGTAGTTGAGACCACATTGCACCACATTTCCTTTCTACATAGAGTACATGCTGAAGCACTGTTAAAAAGTAGCTCTCTATTTAACAATAACGACTAGAGGAAAAGAGCCCACGATTCTGAGAGGGAGCAATGGAGAGAGTTACTCAAGAGAAGGAGGGCGTGATATAATTACATTTTAACTCTTCACAAAATAAAAACAAATTAAAGCGGTTCTAGAAATCCCAAAAGACCTCTAGACACACTTACCTACCGAATCAGTCTCTTAATGCGCGAGAACCATGAGAGCGGGGCTGTGTGCTTTGACACTGCCAGTCTACAAGTTCTGGCCTTCCACCCTCCAGCCTATCTACTATAAACAAAATAGTAAACCAACAGACAAAGCAGAGAAAATTTAAATGTATGCCTCTTGATGCAAATAGTCTTTTTTCTAAACAAAACTTCCAAGCTGTGAAAAGACTAGGAAAGGTCAAATGAGTGTATTACATAAACTTGAGTATGATTGGCCAAAAAAAAAAAAAAAAAAGTAAAAAGTAAAAAGAAGGAGTAAGAGGAAACTAGCTCATCTTCATCTAAATTTAATGTTAATTTTTTAAAAAAAGTCTCTTGGAAGAAATTATTTTTTAATAATTCAGTACTAGAACACTTAAGTAAAAGTGTTTTTTCTGCCAGGAAACAAAAATAAGACTTCAAGGGAGAGACAACTCAGAGAAAAAGTTTTGATTTATTCCTCCTAAAATAGAGACTATAAAGCTTTCACATGACTTACAGAGCTGCCACAGAGGCTCCAGGATGGGGGACAAGTCCCCAGATGCACCAAGGCCGGTTTTTGCTTTGAACATGAGAAGTCATATTCTTTCTCTTATCAGAAGAGCTGGCGTGAGTGTGTATAGCCCTCAATATGACTGTTTGTGCTTTGGGGACAAAGGGGACTTTGCACTCTTATTTATGGCGTCTTCGTATTCCTCTACAATAACCCCATTCAGAGAAGTAAAAGGCACGCTTGTTTTCATCGTTCCATGTAAGCACACTATGAAAGGCAAGAGAGCTGCCAGAAAAATCTACACTTAAGTTACTGGAATGTGGGGCTGAGCAATCCTTTAAGCAACATGTTGAGGGAGACTTAAAGGCCTAGCTAGGGCCTCATAAGACCGGCAAGATCATCATCCGATGACTCTAGACTGGACATTTTATCCTTAAGGTGCGTAAACAGATCCAATACAAACGACTGCTATCATTTGGTGTTGTAAAGAATGGATAACTCAGAAGTGGACGACACAATGCTGCTGAGAGACATGGCAAATACGATGACTAACTATTGCAATTACTTCATACACATGATGTCATATACTTCCAAAGCAAGGCTCAGGAATGTCAGGGAGACAATGCCATTTGGACTACTTCTAGTCAGTAAGTATGAAAACCTATCTTGTTTTTCTAAGCTGTATCTATTTATTCTATGAATTATGAAAATAAGAACAAACTACCAACCACCAAGTAAAGAAAGTTGGGTTTTGATTCTGAACCATGCCTTCTTCTCAGGAGTGTCCTATGGAACTGAGAATGGAGTCAATAGGCCACATTTACTACACAATTAACACGCCTCCTTGGTGAGTGAGGAATGAAGTGAACATGGGGGTTGGGAGAGTCAAAGCTGAGGCCAAGATCTGGTGCCTAAGAAGCTTTAACTCTTATCTGGGGTGGGGCAATCAGATATAAAAAAAAATGAAAACACAGTAGGTAGTTTTTTCAACGAATCATCAACTGAAAAACAGCCTGCTTTTCCTCTTTAAAGGTGCAGGAGAGGTGGCTCAGTGGTTAAGAGCGCTGGTTGTTCTTGCAGAAGACCCAGGTTCAATTCCCAGCACCCACACAATAGCTCCCAAGCACCTGTATTCCAGTTCCAGGGGATCTGGTGCCCTCTTCTGGACTCCATGGGCATCATGCACATATGTGGCAAACACACATATATGCAGGCAAAACACCTGTACACATACAATAGAAACTAAAAGCAGAAGTTTCTTTTCTCCTGGTATTTGATGGCTGTCAATCCATCAGCACCTGTAACAGCTTGACTAATTGCTGACACCGCCACACTTCCGTCCCTTTTGCTATTTTTATCTTCTAAGTGCAACTGCAGCTTACAGGGCTCTGGTTTGTCAATAATGCAATTGCCCATGAAGATACTACCCTGGAGCTTCTTCCTATTAAGTTTTGCTCTGGGTTAAACAATCAAATTTCACTTTGTTCTATGATAGAAATTTTTATTTTAGGTTGCAAAATCTATTTCAGCGTGAAATAAATATCAGCAAGAGGACAAACACCAGCCCGGCATGTGGATACTATGGATGACAAAGTTGTTGCAGAAAAGCTTGGGATAGTTTTGAATAAAATGGACAAGTTAATTTGAAGCAAGACTCTTCTTTAATGCTTTTCACTCCAGCATTTTAGTGTCCTACCTAGCATTTAACAGAGGCATGGTCAAGGCTGACTGAATTAAAATGGGAGGCACAGGAAGCCGGAAATCACACGGATCCTAGGAGACCACTGCCATGTGGTCATGTCAATCTCCCTCTAGATCTATCACAGGCTTAGCTCCAACCTCCACTTCATGCTTTCTAACAGCTGCTAGTTTAGCTTTCCTTTTCTCTCCTTGGCCATACTGTCTCAGTCTTTTCCTACTTCTGACCTCTGCTGAGTGACCTACAACGCAGCCCACATTTTCTACTTGGCCCTTACATAAACATGTAATATGTCACTGCTCAAACGGCAACAGAAAGACAGGCTCAGCAGATACTCCTCAGGTATGTATGTCTTTGCAGAGTTAAGCAGAAGTCTGACTCACAGGAAAAAAGGAAAAGGGGGGGAGGGGAGACATGCAAAATGAGTTACCACACTCCTATTTGCCTACAGCAGAACTTCTGATATTCTCCATTACTGACTCCACAGCTGTGTTTTTCTACCTTAAAGTTGCTTCTCCATTCCCTGAGCTTTAAAGAGTATTTTTTTTCCCAATAGCATCATCCAGACATACCAGGAAGGATACATATATGAACTCACAGAAGCTGTGACAGCACACACATGACCTACAGTGTCAAACAAACAAACAAAAAAATTCACAGGGTTCATCTTAAAGGAAATAAGAGTGTATTTGAGAGCCATTTTGGATGATTATAGCCCAGATACAGATTTAAGTTACCCCAAATTCGATGTTCCTATGTGGAAGTAGTTTGTAGTTTTGCAGAACCAAGATAATCATAAATCCAGACAGATTTAAAACACATTGGTGGGAATATTATAGGGGTGATGAGAGCAAGGTGGGGCAGGCTTTCCTACAGGTCTCATGCTATCTGATGCCATCCTTAGCTTTTCGGCTGGTGGAACCTAGAGGTTTTTACCTGTTAGTTATGGGATCTTAGTTCCCACACAGTGGGTAAGGAATGGCTGTTGGTTGGGGCATGTGTGGGGGCTAAAACCAGTCCAAGATAAGGTAATTAGCCTCGGGGCCTGCAACATTCCAATCTCGTCATAGTACCACAGTTCTAATCAATCAGTCTCTACCACACAGCTTCTTTTCAGGAGTTTACATTAACAACAGGACCAAACAGGAAAAAAAAAAATTACAATACAGAGGGGTTACAGACACAAAGTCCCACCAAGAGGTATTTACAGCTGATAACAGGAGGGAAAGGGGAAACCAGTTTTCTTCAATGGAGTGTCACTCCACGCCCAGTAGTTGGCCAACACAAGATTGTGTGTGTGTGTGTCTGTTACGAGTGCACCATTGTTTTATTATTTTTTGTATTTGTTTTGATTTTGTTTAAAACCTTTCTTTCAGAGAGGGGCGGGGATGAAGATGGGTAGGAAAAGAGGTGGGAGGATGGAAAAATGATCAAAATAAGTTTTATTTAAAAAAGAAAGAATATTGGTTTTAGGTAAATCACTGACACCATGGACCTCTGAAATTCCTAAACGTGTTTACCAGAGACTGAGAACAGACAGGCGGGGAAAATCGGGCTTTGGCTCACTGTCTCTTGGCCTGAAGTAAGAGGACACTGAGTCACCTGACTTTTACTTTCTGCAGCACACGTCCGTAGTTCCCTGATAAAGCTAAACCCCAAACAAAGCCCACGCACTCTGGTGAGTTCTGCCCATCAACTTAAACATGGGCTGTGAACAGACACTGCCAACGTGGGGGAAGGGGCGGGATTTCCCCTTGGCAGCTTTCCCTCAACCAACTGCTCTGGGCAGGGACAGTATACCGATATCCTGACGGAAACAACCCGTAAAACTCAAACTAAGTGCCTTAAGAGGCCGAAAAAGAAGCTTCTCCCAGTCCTCAGGAGGTATGGCTAGTTGCCACGAATGGCCCCCACTCGAGTGGGCAGACACAGGCTCGGATGAGCTCAGAGGGCGCGTCGACACATCGCTAACTTCCCAGACATGGCCAGAAACCGAATTTACAGCCAGAACGCAAGCCCCGTGGTTGGGAAACAGCAAGATAAACAAAAACCTACTACGACACCAAATCCATTTCCGCCCGGCCGGGCCAGGGAACGATCAAAGATGGAGAAAGAGGTACAGACCTCCCGTACCAACGCCCTTCTAGTACGCAGGCGCAGGCGCCGGCGGAAGCCCCGCCCCTCGCGCTCCCGCCAAGACTACGCGCGCGCGCCGGCCGCCAGAGCCTCCCAGGCACCGCCTCGCTCCTCCGCCCCGAGGCCCCGCGTTCGCAGCCCGGTTCCGGTTGTAGCCCCGCCCCCGCGCGGGAACGTGCCAGAAGGTTTGTTATCCGGAACGGGAGGCTGGCTCCAGCGCGCACTTCCGGTGGCGCCTCTTTCCGTGTCCCCTGAGGCCCAGGCTCTGGCTCTCGGTGCGGCAGCGCCATCTGGCGCCGGGTGTCCCTGCGCCCGCGGAGGGCGCGCTGCCTCCCTGCAGAACCTTCCAGAGCCGCCGCGGCCCGGGTCGGAGGGCGGGGCCTGAGACTCCGCCCCCGCCTAGGCCGCGCGCGCGGGAAGGGTTTTGCGGTTACTCTGAACGGAAACAGTTGGAGTCCTGATGTGGAACGGACCTCAAGAGGCAGGAAGTCGGCTTTTTCCCGTGATTTCAAGCCCTAGTAACACAGTTCCCGTTTCCTTTTGTTCTGCTTTCTGGCTCCTCATTTCCGGCCGCAGGCTGTGTTCGTTGTGCCTCGGTTCGCTCTGAGTGGACCGCGGTCCTCCATTTTTCGTTTCTTGGTTAGCCTGTGCCGTAAAAAGCTTTTCTTTCCTTCCGTCTACTAAGTGCGTGCTGCGAGAACGAGCAATATTGGGGGTTGAAAATTAGAAAAATTAATAGAAGTTTTAAAACAAGGCAGTCTCACCAGGTTTAGCGCAGAAATGTGGAATCTGCACTGTGATTGCATGGCGTATTTCCCTTAGATAAAGGGAAAGCAGGTTTCCCCTAAAGTTAGAAAATAAACATAAGATTTCTCTTTTAAAGAATTAGTCTGAAAATCCAGATTTCCTAGACTTGAAGGATTGTTAGCTATTGTTTACGGTATTGTATATCAAGATGCACAGTGCAAATTAGTGACCTGTCCCTTAGAAGTTTAGATATTCGAGCTCACTTGTCCCTGGGCTTTTATTATTATTTTTTTATTTTTTATTTTATTTTTGCAGTAAAAAAAATGGTTTTCCTGCTTGGACAAGCATTTGAATTCAGAAGGCTTTTAAGAAGGCTGTTTTGTAGGGCGATGTGGAAGAAGAGCTGGGTGGTTTAAGGTTGCACATGGGAATAATTTAGAGTCCAGGGTGGCTGTGTTGAGAGCGCTCTTGCTGGTAATGATATATTGACACAGAAACCTGACAAATTAGCCTTTCCACCTGGTGCCACGGAAGTAAACCAGGCTCTCAAACCATGAAGTTTGCAGAAACATCCAGACGTTAGAAAAACCAGTTCATATAAATATACTCTGTCATAGAGGGTGCTGTAATACCGGGCATACTAAATATTTCAATTATGATGATGTCATTTCTTTTCTCCTCTGATTCTTAAAAATCAGTGAAAACTCAGAATGGACAAAATTGTTTCAACGGACATGTTTTAATTTTTACTTTTTGCAAGGTAATTTTCTAAAACCCCTCTCCTTTTGTAACTGGTAATTCCTTATCTCATCGAATCATTGCCCCTTACCCTTACTATGTAACTTAAAACATACAGAGTACTTTCGTTTGTAGAGTGTAAGCTTGCTGAAGTTTGCATTCTGAGTTTGACAATGGCATTTGACCCGAACCTATCAATAAAATGCCCTGCTTTCTCTAATTTTTCCATTTGACCCCAATAGAAATATTCCTTTTTGTTCATAGCTGATGTTATTCCTAAAAGTGATTTGTTTCTTATAATAATAATAAAAATTAGGCTGTTTACTGAAGTGTGAGTAACTACTATAGAGATCATGCTCCCTTTATGTACAAGTTAGTGTAACTATGAGGACAACTGATGTAAGGAGCTATGCAATGACTCAGTAGGACTTCCATTAAAAGGAGCTGGAGAGATGTGTTGTGATAGGAGTGGCGGGGCTGCGTCCCCAGCACCCCGGCCACCTGCTAGCTTATGCCCCGAAATAATAACACGGACACTGTATTCTTTTAAACACTGCTTGGCCCATTAACTCTAGCCCTTACAGGCTAATTCTGATATCCTGATCAACCCATCTCTAATAATCTGTGTAGCATCAGTCTTACCAGGAAAATTCTAGCCTACGTCCATCCTGGGTTGGAGCTTCATCGCGTTTGCCTCAGAGAGCAGAGCTATCGAGTCTGCCTGGGAGAGGGGAGCATGGCGTCTCTGCTCCAGAGCAGAGCTGTCGAGTCTGAGCTCACGTCCTCTTCCTCCCAGCATCCTGTTCTGTTTATTCCACCCACCTATGTTCTAACCAATAAAATGGGCCAAGGCAGTTTCTTCACTAGCCAATGACCTTCCTCCATCAGATATGGCTCAGTGGTTAAGAACTCTGACTGCTCAATTTCTAGCACCCACATGGTGCACAGACGTACATGCAGGCAAAACATCTATACATTAAAAATTTAAATTGGCTATTCTAATCCCATTGTTTTTACCCATTAAAGATGAAAAATGTGGAGTTCAGGGGTCCGTCCCTCCTTCCCTCTAACCTGAATGAGTCTCCATTTAAAGGGACAGAGGGAGGTAGCAGGGGAGAGCATAGGGTTTACCTTGTATTCAAGTAACTATTAACCGTTTACACTACTGAAAGAAAAACACACATTCTGCTCTTCATTTTAAACCTACTTTGTAGTGAAAGTGGGTTCACTAGTAATACTGCTTTGCTCTACTTTGAGGTCTTTATTATATTTGTTGGTTAAATTTTATTTATTATGGCTATCAACATTGCC